CGCCCCCCCCCATCCCCAGCATGACACCCAGCTGCACCTCTATAAACCTTCCCTCCCAGCCCTGCTCTCCTGAAAGGTATCCTCAGCTGCTTGCACTAGTGCCCACTATGACACAGGGCGCCCTGCAAGTGTGAGCAGGTTGGAGGCTCTGTCTGCACGCCCTGCTACAGGGAGCTGGATGCAAAGGCGGAGGGCTGCGGTGCCTGGGAGGCCCAGGCCCAGCCTGGCAACCCTCCCCTTCTCCTCCATGCCATGGGAGAGACTGGTCCGCATGGGAAAAGGGACATTTAAACCAGCAAACTTAGCAGAGCCATTTCTACCCCCCTGAGATCAGTAATCTCCCAGCTACGCTTATAAACCAGGGGGGAGATAGATGATTTTGGTCATTAAGCCGTTTGCGTTCCAACCCTGACACAGGCTCTCGGGCACAGCCGGCCCTGCCAGACTTGGTTTTCTAGAAGTGCCTTGGAAGCTGGCAGCTCTGGAGAGAAGCCCGACTGGACATGGACTTTCCCCACAGCCCGGAAGGCTGACCTGCCTTTCCCCAGGGCGCTCACGTAGAGATGTGTGCACCAGGGTGCGCACCCAGATGTGCACAGATGTGCACCCTGGGCACAGAAATGTGTGTTCCTATGGAGCACATCGGCAGCTGCTGGGCACTGGGTGTTTGGGAGAGGGGCATGAAGCCATCTCCGTCTGGGCCAGAGAGGGAGGAAACAAGTGGTCCAGGCTCCCCACAGCCTGAGGCTTGGCCGCACTTTCCCATCCCTTCACCACGGCTCAGAAGGCCCTTGTCCGACCACACCAGGCCCTGGAGCCAGTGATCGTGGCTCCTGTTGCCTTTAGCCTCGGCTGTGGAGGGCTGGAGTTCAGTTCCCCTGGAAGATGGGACCGGGGAGGGGTGTGGCGCAGAAGTGGTGTGGGAAAGTTGGGGCAGTAAATAATTTGAGTTGAGGGAGCACTTCTATTTTAGCCACCAGCCAGCCCTGACACTAGTGATGCCCAAGATGGGAAGGACATGCCTGGCACTGCAGCACCAGAGATGCAGCTATTCCCATCCCTGCATGTTAACTGCAGACACTTATACTCATCCCTCCCACTCCGGTCCCTGGTGACCCGGCTGCGTCCGGCTACTTAGGTGCTATTCAGTTATTCTGAAACGCGCTGCCTGTCGCCCGCTGCTCTCGCCTCTGCTCATCTTGCTGCCTGATCATTTCACAGTCAATCATCTGTTCTTTGTGGACAATTTTAGGCTGCTCATTTGAAAGTTTTTCTGGGCCAATCTGAAGGGAGAAGGGGGGAAAAAACAGAAAGAAACTTGTGCAAACCCTATGCACAGCAGCAGGCTTCAGGGAGCCGGCGCCCTCTTGCAAGTCATTTCCATCGAGTGCTCTTTGTACCTGATCTCGGCAGAAATGAGGTCACAGTACAAACCTGCCCCCTTTCTCTTCTAAAGTCACTTCTAAGTGGCCTAAAATAAACTCAGTGTGGAGAATGGAAATGTCACTTTACCCAACGGGGGAATCTTTCTCTGAGATTGGATTTAAACTACATTATACAAGCAATTTCATGGGTGCTTTGAGCCGCTACGAGTGCCTCACCAAAAATGGAAAAGCATTCCATTTACCAGCTATAAATCAGCAGTTCCTATAATGAGCACAAAAATGTCACTTTTATGCAATTTTACAGATGAACAAAACTGGTGAAATTAACTGTGGTAACCTACTAGAGTCAGCAAAAGCCACCGCCGAAAAAAAATTATATATGTATATATTTTTGTTCCTCTCAAACTCTTTCCCAAGCCAGTTTCTGCCATTCTGGTGTGAAAACTCATTTGTCGTACACATTATCCTTTCATTTGGAGTTTATCTTGAGTATCCAATGAGCCACCAACTGTGAAAATGATTAAATCTACAAAATCTATCTAATAGATGGAATAAATTAGGTGTTTAAAATCTCTACGTGCGCGTGTGTGCGCACACTCACTCTGACACACACACAGAGACTATGAGTTACAGCAGCCTCTTCCTCTCCATCACCCCTCTGGATATGGTACAGCAAAGGGCCTCGGACGGAGCGAATGGAGGCACAAGAGCTGCTGGCAGTTGGGCTGCACCTTGCCTTTGAGAGGCCCTAAGACATCAAGTCTCTCCCTTCCCTGCTTCCTCAAATTCATGAGATTCGCCTGCTGCAGAGCTCAGCTCACATGGCTGCAACTGGTGAGAGGTGGACGGGTCACACAGGAGGTGTCGCTCCAGGCACTGCAAGCCCAAAGGGGCTGCCCCCACGCACCTGGATTAGCCCAGCCAGGGGTCTGCAAGGGCTGCACGTCCTGCATTACCCCCATGCCAGATCACCATGAGGAACCCTGCTGGTTGCGAGTTTTGGTGCTCTGAAGCAGACGCAGTTGCCTGGGCAAGTCTGCCATCGCACAGCAGCACATGGCACCCAGGGCTTTCTGCAGGTTGTGGGCAGAATAGGAAGCACACACACTGCCCATTAGTGACTGCTGCCCTTGCTTCCAGCCCTGTGGCCCCCAGGGTCCAGAGGGACTGGACCAGAGAGGGATTGGCTTCTGCTCCCCTCTAGTGGGAGACAGGCCGGACACTGCTCCAGAGAGAGTCACAGACACAACCCTGCCAAGGGAACCAAGGGAGGCTGCTCCCAGGGGAATGCCAGCCAGCAGGCACTGGCAGACACATGAAGTTTGAAGGAGAACCCAGGCTGGAATTGTGGATGGGTCCAGCTGGCACTGCCATGGCATCACCAAGCACCCGGCTGCTTCCTGATTGATCCTGGGCTGGGGGGGCAGGGAGCTCAGCACTGGACGGGATTGGGACCTGGCGTTTCAATGACCCCAGGTACGCCGTCTGTGCTGAGCAGCACTCGTCCCCCTTCCCCGGGCAGTGGGCTGCACTCCTGCTCCAGGTTGCAGCTTCCCCTGTAAATGCAGAGCCAGCGATTCTATTACAATCTTCCTGAAAAAACCCTACATGTAAAATAGGCCTGAGCCCGTTGTGAGGCAGCGGCAAAGCCATCTGCAGTAATGGAGGCATTTCCAGCACCACGGTTTCACAGAAACCTCTTTCCCCGGCATGCTGAGAAATCTTTCTTTGCAGAGCCGCGGGGGGCCCTTTTCCGCCAAGCACGCCAGCCCGTAATGATGGCGCGCTGGAAACAAAACCTGGTCTCTGTGCGGCACCGTAATCTCTCCCCTTCACTGCACCAATAGCGAGCAGAGAGCGCGCCCTGGCGCTCCGCCGTCCCACCGAGGCTGAGGGAGGCGTGCATGGGGCTTCAAATGCAATTGCATGCTCTCAATTCCAGTCAAAGTAATGGGACGGAAAAAGACATAGTATAAGCATTTCACACGTTCTTTACGAAGATGGGCCCATCTTTCCACACCACTGCCAAGCATCCCCATGGTGCTGGTCCCAAAAAGGATGGGCTGCTTTTGAAACCGTGGGGCTCCCATAGCAGGTGTGGGAAGGGGATGTGGGATGCCCGTACCCCTTGCAGCACCTGGAGGACAACACGGAGGGACAGAAAACAGGCCCCCTCTGTGGCAAGCCTGCCTGTGCAATCAAGGCATGGAGGAAAGAGGAGTGTCCCCTCCCACCGCAGTGCAGGGAGCAGGATGTTGGCAGTCACCTACGGCTCTCAGGATCGTGAGCCCAGCTCAGCCGGGCAATTGCTGCTGGGCAGCGAAGCAGGGAGCTGTTGTGGTAAGAGGAGCAGCTGCTACAGTCATATGTCAAAGCCGTTACAGCTGGATCCTCCCTACAGGTCTGGGTGGCATCGAGGCCATCCAGAAAGGATGTCCTGGCTACCAGGGTGCCTCCAAATCCCTTCTCTCCTGACTGCCAGCCAGTGCCTTGCATGTCTTAGGGACATAGAAGAGCATCCCAGATAGCTAGGCAATCAAGCTGTGTATT